TGCCAGTGAAGACTGAGGCAAAAAAGTTGTTGAGTACCTCAGCCTTCTCCTCATCTGCTGTTACCAGCCTGCCGGTCTCGCTTATCAGCGGGGGTACACTCTCTTTAACCTTCCTTTTCCGGCTGATATACCTGTAGAATCCCTTTTTATTATTCTTTGCATCCCTAGCCAAGTTAAGCTCCAGCTGCGCCTTCGCCTCCCTGACCCCATTCCTACACAACCGGACCACTTCCCTATACTCTTCCCAGGATGCCTGTCCCTGCTTCCACTGCCTGTGCAGTTCCCTCTTCCTCCTTAGCTTGACCAGCATCTCCTGTCTCAACCACGCTGGTCTCTTCCCTTCTTTGCTTGATTTCTTACACCTAGGGATCGATAGCTCCTGCGCTCTGTGGACCACTTCCTTAAAGATCTGCCAGCTCTGTTCTGCTCCCCTGTCCCTGAGGGCCGTTTCCCAGGGAGTCCTACTGACTATCTCCTTGAGGAGCTGGAAGTTGGCTTTTCTAAAATTCAGGGTCCTGACTATACTCTTTGTCCTTCCCATTTCCCTCAGGAGCGTGAGCTCTACCAGCGCGTGATCACTGCAGCCCAGGCTGCCTCCGATCTTGACATCTCCGACGAGCTCGCTTGCATTGGTGACCACCAGGTCCAGTATCGCATCCCCTCGGGTAGGGGTGTCTATTACCTGGCTTAAGAAGTTGTCCTCAATGCATTCGAGAAACCTGCTGGATTGCCTACAGCTTGCCGTGTTGGTTTTCCAGCAGATGTCGGGGTGGTTGAAGGCCCCCAGGAGGACGAGAGCCTGCGAGCGCGAAGCCTCCCGGAGTTGGAGGAAGAACGCTTCGTCAGTAGGCTCCTGTTGACCTGGCGGCCTGTAGTAGACACCAACCACGAGGTTCCCTTTGTTGCCTCTCTCTCTGACTCTTACTCATAAGCTTTTGACCTGCTTGTGGCTATTCTTCAGGGTCAGCTCTTCGCACTGTAATGATTTCTTGATGTAAAGGGCAATGCCTCCGCCCCTCCTTCCTCACCTGTCCCTTCTGAACAGCCTGTAGCCATCAATAGCTACATTCCAGTCAGGGGATTCATCCCACCAAGTTTCTGTAATGGCAATCAGGTCGTAGCTTTCTAGCAGCACGATAGCTTCCAAGTCCTCCTGTTTGTTTCCCATGCTGCGTGCGTTTGTATAGAGGCATTTCACCTGAGCTGTTGGCCTCATCACCTTCATAGCAGAACACCCCTCATTTCCCTTGAGGTGTTTCACGGGCATTTGCTTGTTGGCTCCTACTACCTCAGGAGCCTCCAGCTCACCTCCGCCAGACTTCAACTTTGCTGCAGCATCCCTGGCACGCTGCTGGGCAACAGGTTGAGGGCTCATACTAGCCCCCTGTCCCTCTAGCCATTGCATATCGTCCCCTAGCCTGTTTCTGGCAAGCCCAATAGGTTCCCCCTCCCCCTTTGCATCTAGTTTAAAGCCCTGTCAATGAGCCCTGCAAGCTCCTGGGCAAAGACCCTCTTTTGCCTTTGAGAAAGCTGGCTTCCATTTGACGCCAGCAAGCCTGGTGCCATGTAGGCCATCCCATGATCAAAGAACCCAAAGTTGTGGCGCTGCCACGTTCTCCTGGATGCACAATTCTTTAATAACAACATGGTCCACACCCACTCCGCTCTCGCTGATGCTCTGTATGGTTACACGGTCTAATTATTTAGAAAACTGCGACTTCACTCCCGTGGGCCATTGTTTAATCGCTGGCTGTTGTTTAAAGACATCAAGGGTGAAGATGTGGTGAAGTTAACTTTGGCCTTAAAGATGGCTCGGCAGGACCTCACAACATCCCAGGTGAAGCTGAACAAAATGACAGCAGACTATGGAGATGTTGTGCCCAGGAGAGATTTTGAATCACTGGAGAACAAATACTCCGATTTACTGCGGGAGGTAAGTGTAGGCTCCTTGTTTTCAAGCTATAGAACAGAAATGCAAACCTAATGTGATGCTTTCGTCTGCAGGTCAAGACAGGGACTCGACCAACCTAGCGCTCACCTACAGGCATTTCTGTGGGCTTTTGTAGATATGTGAAAAGCCACGGCTGTCTAATCCTCAAAGCTCCCTGCCTATTGGAATCTCACGCTGCCGGAGCACTCCAGATCAGCACACCATCACAAACCCTTAACACCAGTTTTAAATGAATTAACACAGTAAAAGCAATAATGGCCCCCGGGCAGCCAAGAGCCCACTGGTCCCAGCTTGAGAACTGTCCGAAGTCATCGTTCATAGAAATACATCACCAAGGTTCACCTCACACACATTGCGCGGTTCTATCCAAACCATGGCTCACTGAAACTACTGCTGGGCTGCTAACGCTTATCCCTCAGCCTGGGGCTTGCCTTTTCCAGCAGCGTTAAACAGCTGCTTTACCGGAACTCCAAGGTCATCAACCCAACTGTGGGGGTGATCGATGCCTCTTCCAGATGAGAAAGAACTGAAGTAGGTTCCTCGTGTCACATCTGTTTGCTGTATTTTCAGGATAAAATAAGAATAAGTTCGCTTGGCTTGCACTGGAGATGTGCAGGAGCCATGGGCAGGGGTAACACGTGCCGGTGGCTGGGATGGGGGCAGCTTCCAACCCTGCAGCGGCAGGGTGGCGCGGGGGGATGACAATGAGAATGGCTGGCATTCCACCACAGAGCCAGGGCTCAGCCGCGAAGAGGGGTGGATGAAAACCTCCCTTACGGCAAAAACCTACCACCAGCCTTCGCGCTTCTAAAAAGCAGCTCTGGGCTGGCTCAGGCACATTTGGGCCATTGGCAGCCCCGTTCCAGCCCCGACCGACAGCGCAGCTTGATCCACTGTTCATATCCCTACATCGTGGCATAACAAATACAGGCGCAGCCCTCAAAACCCAGATGAGAACTGTGGGTACCCCTGAGTCACGGTGTACCTTCGTAGCAGTAGAGCAAGGATAAATCATACAAAAAGGAAACGCTTTCTAAATAAAGCACAGTGGCTGTGAAGGGGACGCCTGTAAAACTGTCTAGAGTAACCCCTGAGGTTTCTCTTGCTCTCTTCTAGTGATTGAGATCTATTTTTAAACACAAAACCAGGTACAAAAGGGTCATTGACGTGTTTTGTCAGGCGTGTTTGTAAATGGTAACAATAAAATTTAAGAAATGACTTCTTTTTCTTCCCATTGAGAAGCAATTAGCCAGGGACAGCTCTCTGTAAGTGTGCAGCCTACACTGGCCACTCACCGGAGCGGTCTGATGGCAACAGAAAACCTCTGTCAGTTTGTTGCAATCCTCCTTTCCCCACCCTCTAGATGAAGACTCTGCAGAAGGATCTCAATCAGCTCCGTAAGGACCACGAGGCACTGCTGGGAATCCAGGCGGAGACCACAGAAGAGCAAGACAACCTCCGCGCCGAACTGCAGCGAGTTCAACGCAACCGCACGCCCCGGCCAAACTGGGCCAAGTGTTCAGGTGCCAACCGCACCAGGCAGCCGTTTGCTGAGGGTGGCTCCATCTTCAAGCACTGTGCTGTGCTGCATTTCTTGCCTGCAGCGCTGCATTTCCCCTGGGTCTTTCAGTGGCAGGCTGCAAGCATGGTGCTTGCAGGGCATCCCACTCTGCCGTAGGCACCTTCGGACGTGAAGCGACTGCCTCGAGGGCCGTATCTATCAGAAGGCTCCCTGGGGGTTTTGCACTAAACCAGCATGCGTGGGCGCGTTCTCCTCTTCTGACAGCTGGGTGTCTTCCTGCAGAGGTGATTCCCGGTGGAGCGGAGCGGTGGGGCGGGCTGGCCAAGGGGAAGAGCAGCGATCAGCTGGTGGATGTGCTTCTGGAAGAAATTGGAACAAGAATGCTGCGAGAGAGAGACATCTTCCCTGGATGGGTACGCATAAGCTTTCTCCTCTGCTTGTTCCCACTGGGAATAACTGGCAATAAATACCCATTAGCGAGGTGGGAGAACTGCTTTCTTTGCTGGCATCTTCAACATTCCCCTTCCCGTTAGCATAATTACCAAAATGTTTAAAACTAGGGAGACTCGGGTGGAACAGAAAAGCAGAGACTGAGTGTGAGCAAACCGAAGGCACGGCTGAAGTAGCCGGGCTTTGCAGTGATGCGGCAGATGTGCAGGTAGCACTGAGCTGGGGCCCTTTCCTAACGCCCCGCTACCCGGCTGAGACAGATGAACGGCTCCCCACTGCAGCAAAGCCTCAGCTTTTTTCCTGTCCTGACCCCGGTGCTGGCTGCAGCAAGAAGGGGGCACGCAGCAGAGCAGCCCTCGTCTTCCCCCAGGTTCATTCTCTGCTGATGAGATAAACCCAAAGCACTGGAATGACTACAAGTAAGAAGGGTGATGGCGTAGTGGGGAATGACTCCTTTTGGTGGCATCATGAAGCTCATTCAGCTCATGCTGCCCCAGTCACTACACCTCAGCCTGTGGGGGAATCAGGAAGCAATTACAGGTACAAGGAGACGCTGCAAGGATTCTCCACATCGTACCAAGCGTAACTGTACCCAAAAGCTTTCTCGGGGACAGAGTAGCATTTCTTTGGTCCTTCAACGTCCCTTCTGCAGCCTTTCCAGAAGCTTGGACTGTTTTCCCCTGCCATTCCTGGAAGGTATTTCCAAGGAAGATCTTTCCTCTTCTATTTTTGCTGGGCAGAACCTCTCACCCAGCCTCATTTTTTCCGCCCCAGAGCACTCAAGACACGTCACAGAGGTGCTGACCCACACAGATGACTGGTTTTAATGGGTTTTGATGCTGAGAATGTAGCTTTGGGTCTGCATCACTGCCAGCGAGGCGCACGCCTTACCTGTACCTGTGTTTCTCTTCCATTGCTTAGGGCAAAGGTGACAGGGTGCCTGTGTACCTGAGGCATGAAGGTGAAGTCAAGAACAAAAAGCTGACCAAGAAGGATGCCGTGAACATTCTAAAGGATGTCTGGAAGGAGAAAATGGCGCAAGAACAGCAGGTTTGTCCCCTTTCCCTTCTCCACAAACAGCGTTTTCTGGCACAGTTTGGGAAGCCAGGGTCTCACCTGCATCCTGCCCGGCGTTCCAGGAGAACTGAGGTGCCTAAAGCATTGCAAGCACAAACTGTCCCAGCTGGGGGTAACACTGCAGCTGACTGGGCTCCCCAGGGCTCTGGCTGATGACTTTGGATGAGGCAGCAGCTCTCTCCCAGGTCTAAGAGGCTCCTACAGCCTCCGCTGCCAGCACAGCTGAGCGCTCGTTAAGCAGCCCACGCCCAACCACCACAGCAAAATCAGCACCCG